GACTAAAGTACTGTGATCTGCAGGCTCGGGGTTCCGTGGCAGTAGGGTGAAAAGCAGAGATGTACTCCGCGTGAAACCTTTCAGAGCCGTTAAGCGATAAAGGCTTTTATTCGGTTCAACTGCGACCCTACCACTTCCGACGCCTAGAGGGAATACGATGATCACCTCTTAACTAAAAAAGAGAGTGTGCTGAGGCACAACTGTAGTGTTGGCCGCGGAAACGTCGTACATTGCCCGGGTTCTATCTCGAGTGGGGATTAGGCATCGGGCGAGATTGCAGGGAAGTCATTTAGAAAATTTTCTTAGATCTTCAGCCATCTAGTTCCTCATGTACCTCGTGCGCCCCCTTAGGCACGGAAACATTGTAGGAAGTTCGACCGGACCCAAAAAAAAATACAATTGTTTGTGTTCACAATTAATTTATTCTGTCATCATACATAGGTATTTATAAAATCTCAAGAGCCTAAATATAAACGAGAAGGTGGCCGGATTCAGGTTTCAGGATTCATTACCTATTAAATACACAATTATCAAATTATATCATGATTTATCAGAAAACGTTAACATTATAAGTTTGTCAAACATTTATAAGCAACTGATTTGTATAGTCTTATAATTAAGCAATAAACTTTTATCTTCAGATTCATCTTTGTTTGTTCAGTGACGTGTAAGTTATGACGTGGGAGAGTCTGTCGCGTATGTTTACTGAATATCACTTGTTTTAATTTTCAGTTTGTTATTTTACAACGGTCATTTAACGTAAGTATCGCGTAAGCGCCATTTCGATAAAGCGGCACGACACGAGAACCCTCTCATCGTGGCCGCCCGTAACTACATACCCGACCCAGTAGACCAAATGGTAAGCAGTCGACGTCACCCAAAACACGTCACCTCGGATCATCCCGATCCACTAACGATGCTCTTAGGTACCCCAAGCACCGGTCATCGTTGTCGTCGAACCCGTCGCTTGCGACGAAGGGCTCGGCTAGTAAATTAACCCACAGACACAGTCCACTGAGTTTCTCGGTGAATCTTCTCAGTGGGTCGCGTTTCCGATCCGGTGGTAGATTCTGCGAAGCACTGCTCTTGTTAGGGTCAGTGTAAGCAACTCTCCGTTTTGAGCCCCGTGAGCTCACCTACTAGCCCGGCGTCGCTGACATGGTCTTTCTAGACCATCAGCTTAGGTAGGATTTTTTTTTTTATCGCGTAACACATTTGTGATAAAGTCAATAAAAAGGTAGTAAGAAATAGTCATGCTATTTTCGAAGAATTATTTATTCCTTCTTTTCATCCTAAAAAGTATGCCAGTGTCTCAAGAAGAAAGTGCGAGAGAAGGGATTTGCAGGACAATCGAGATACCCCAAAGAATTGCGAGGAAAGTGGCCGTGGGCAGGGCACATTCAGGGCACAGGATCTTAAAATTCGCAAGTGGCGAGACTACGCACCGAAGACGCAGTTTGGGTAGGCCCCAATAGGGTGGACCGACGACCTGTCGAACATTGCGGGAATCCGCTGGATGCAGCCGTGCCAGACCGGGGCAGGTCCATGTCCAGTAGCCGGAGTCATCGTGTCCTATAGATAGGAAGCCCGGTGTACTCGTGTCGAGACATGCGAGTGCCGGCGTTCACATCCCACAGTCAAGCATTTAACAACTGCTCACAAATCACTTTCACGACGAAGAAATAATATTTTGCAATAAAAATAATACTCGCGAAACAATATATATGCGTAATCAATGATGATAGTTCCCCTCCTAATTTTATCGCGAAGCAATCATGCCCTACAGTATGAAGATCGACAGAATCGTTGCCCTATACAATCGAGACGCAGACCTCACAAGGTAAGTAATGGAATTAGCATTTTATATGTGCTCCGCTAAACATAAACATTTAACATCAAGCGGGTCGCAACTTGTGGGCCCGTTTGTATTACAGACCTTGAGTTTGTCTATGTATCTATGCAATTAAAATAGCCCTGCTAAATGTATATATAGAGTAAGTTGGTATAGTAAGGTTCTTAGAGCGTAAGAACATGATAGGTACCATGTCTTATAGGTAAAATAAAATTTTAATATTATCGAGAAAGGCCAGACTTTCTTCAGAGTTCTTTATGTTAACATCATGTTGTCTATTACAATAGATATTTCGGTGTTAGTAAAGCTAAATATTTCGTAGAATGAGCTTCCTAGATCCTATCGGTTCGAACGAAAGACCTTTGGTGAAGCACAATGTTTACCAGCTATACTCTAGTTTCTGCTGTATTTTGTTTTTCTTCCGTTATTTTATTGGCTGTATATCATATATACATACATACGGCATTGCTTGAAAGAATAGCAAAAGAGTATGATCAACCTAATTGAATATGTCATCACACCATATGAACCTACTGATATTTTACGACGATGTCTTTATTAAGCTTATTTATGTACCAGTAAAGTTTTTATTTATCTTTAAGATACGTTTCAAGTAATGCAGCCAACACAGACAATCACAGCATCGATTTCCCCAGCAAGCAGCCTTTGCGAGCAAAATAAAATCAATATTGTGATTTTATTTGATACATGGTACATTTGCTGTTTACTACTTTTGTTGTAGATTTAAATCCGCGATAAGAGGTTTTTTTTAAATGGCTACAACACTCGCGGTGCAGAAAAACTAACTATCGCCAGTACAATCCACCTTAGAAATCTCCGGAGCTGCCAACCCTGACATCCCACAACTCTATACGTTAGGAAGGGCGGTAGGAATAGCCATTCTCCCCTCACATTCTTCCCTTTCTAAAATATATATTTAGATTTACTTCATAGAATCGATATGAAAATTGTATTGTCTGTTCTCCTATTTAACCAGCCCCACTTAGCCTAAGCTGTCACTGGTCCTTCCATATTCGGTCCGTAGTAAGCACAGGGCATTCCGGCGCCGGAGAAAACGTATGTACATAAAATGAAAGTTGAGAATGTGACCTGCTATACACGGCAGGAGAGGCAGCTCCCACATATTATAAATGTAGCAGCCTCGTTTTGGACAATGGTTAGACACTCCTTCATTTGCATAGGCTCTGCAAACAGCTTAGTACAACTCTTGGGAGTGGTAGTTGGAGATGCGCAGTCGTAAACAGGGAAATCACACAAAATATTTCAGGGGTTGATGCGTGACCAGCCCCTAAAATAAGCTACGCTAACAGTCTGTTGTGATATTTATGATTACCGTACCGGCGGACTATTAGCCCAATTAAAATACACGCATTCTGTCTGCGGTAAGAAGAAAGATTCGTTAAATATTGAATGCGAGTACGTTTATGTACTCGCAGTCCAAATTCTGTTTTTCTTCTTATTGTTAATAGATGAATTTTTAGGGATCGCTTATTTTGAAGTGAGCCGCGCGTTTTTTTTTCTTCCTACCTATGCTGATAGCCTTGAAAGGCTATTTCAGCTTCTCCTTGACGTGTAGGTGAGCTCAAACCGGGAGTGTTGCTTACTGATTATTATTGTTGTGTGTTGATACTTACTGGCTGAGTCAAGCTCTAGGTCACCATGGAGATCCACGTTCCTTAGGAACCGTGGTGCTCCAACGGCTATTCTGCAAAAACGGGATTGAATGACTTGTAGGGGTTTCAAGTTGGTGCGGGCCGCGTGAACGAACACTACGTTTGCATAGATCATGACGGGGAGAGGGCCGCGCGTTGTGTGCGTAGTGAACAATCAAAGCTCACGGTATAGTGACACGACTAATTCGGACATTTTCAAGTTATTACGTACTTCATAACATGTGTTACCAAAGGTTCGCAAAATGTGTGGTACCAAACAAACCTTAAATTCCACCTAAAATGTTGCTTAAGCACGATCATGAAATCCTATTATATTTGTTTTCAAAGTTTTCCTTCCTCCATATTTACATTTTGTCTCCTTTCTCTTTATCTTTTTAAAACGCCTTCCAACGTGTTTACAATAGGCATGTTATTAATACTTTCACAAAAAAAAACTGTCTAAGTATTTATCTCGACATCGCTACAGTACGTACGAACAGACGTCGGGCAGCAGCAGATAAAGTATCAATGGACTCCGGCTGCAATTACTTTATTGGATGACCAGACGAACTCAGGATCTGATGTTACGCAGCTACCGAAGACTACCCACAGAGCGGCGTGAGCACTTGTAGCTTCCATGCGATTTGACATGAATGGCTTGACATGCAATGGCAACATGTAGGATGGTGATACCCGCTGAAGGGCTCAGGATGTATAGGTGACTTAGCAACTAAGGCGCGGCTACTCATACTTCGGACGCATGACGAGAACCTAGTAAATGTGATTCCAAAACGCGAACACATTATACTCGTGCCTTCGAAACAGTCAGAAAACTGTTACCCTTCATGTCCTCCTCCAGAAGACCTGTGCCTGGGCTCGAAACTGTCTCGACTAAATTTGAATAAAATGACTAAAACTGACATATATAATATGGCTGGCTGGCATTGCTGACGTCCATGAGCGACGGTGACCACTTACCATCAGGTGGGCCGTGTGCTCGTCGGCCTACTAAGGCAATAAAAAAAATATATATATATATATATATATATTCATGAAGTATTGCGTAACGATGTGCAAGTTTAAAGAACAATTGATAATAATATTTTGGAGACGCAATTTCTTCGTGTTAATCTCTGGAAATACTGTCCTGATTTACAATTGTTCCCTATTAGAAGACAAATTATCCAATTGGAGTAGGTATTTATTGTTTGTTTTGGAAATAATCATGTGTTTGAAATGAACACCACAGATATGTTTTGTGATTAAACATTTTATTTAAATAAAAACATATGTGTAAAATAGTTGTAAATTTCAAAACGCATAGTAGGATGGCAATCGTCATCACTACACTTCCCAGAAAACGTTTTCCTCTTGAGCGGCGCGCTGACGAATGGATACGTCACGCGGTGACGCGGTGACGCGGGGTCTTGCATAAAAACCGCGATGGTCTGCCCGCCGCAGCCCTAGTACCGGCCTGCTCTCCAGCGAGACATCACCCTGGCGCCCCGACATGCCTGCATGGAGTCCACGACTCCTGGCTCCGACAATGAGGACGAGACCGTGCCAGCCGGTAATGTGCAGTGTTTGTGATGTGATCAGTGTCGTGTTCAAGTTTGCGCAATATTTTACGTCAAGTGCATGTTATTTGTGGGGATTATTTCAATAAAATTGGCCAATAACTCCTGGAGGTTGAAGAGTCCCGTGAAAGGCTGTTCAATACAGACGATGTTTAAGTTTAATTTTAAATTCATTGTCATTTTTTCTTGAACTGTACAGCAATAAGACCAAAAAAGTAGTTTAGTTTGATAATTTTCGTTTAAATGGTTTACAGTTCAAAAAACGTTCCGCCAAACACCTGAACTAGGTTATGATTCATAATTCTTGATGATAATTCAATGAAAACTTGTTTTTTTAACCATTATCAATACTTAATTAGAAATGTCTATTCAGAGCAAATATAATACTAGTCTTTAAAATGTTGAAAACTGCTGGTTTTAAAGTCTACTTAAATTTAAAATAACCTAAACAGAAATTACTATCATCCAATTTTTCAATAAAATTAAATGAAAATATTCAGGAATTATACGAAGGAATAATGAGGAAAAGTGACATATTTTAGACAAATATTAAAAATTAGTCCAATAAGACCTTCTTAATTAAGTAATTGAAAATCATATTCAAACTTCATCCCACTGTGAAAACGCACGTGTACGAATGTACAAACAAATATATCCCTCTAATTTTACTGGCTATAGACAGATTTTCTTTACTATATTCTTTAAAATTTGAAAATGTTTAACATATGGCTGTTTTGAATTACTTTTGTTCAACAATATCAGCAATAGGTTGAAACATCCGACAATTGACAAATATAATTAACACATTTTAATATTTAATATCTACATACCTTTCATATTGTTACTGAATTTCACACTAAAACAAGAGACAACCCATTATTTTGTAATAACGCATAATATAACTCACTTGTAATCCAATACCATCATACCATACCACCATAGCATCATACCATCATCATTTTTCCTTATTGATTTCTTTATAATTTAAACTTGAAATTAATTTTCAAAATTAGAGTTGAGTTGAGTTTAAATGTAATAATTACGAGAAAAACCATTATATCTTTTAACTATATCCGCGATTTGCTAAAACTCTACAAATCTGATATGTACCATGTATTTATGATTTAAAACTGTTTTACTGCTTAATCTCATATCTATCTCAATCACATTTGAAAGCGTCCAGCTATCTACCTCAAAGTTGTCACGGATTGCGTTATGTCGTATTCCTTGCTGCCACATCGTACCTACTGGTTAATTCAGTAGATGTTTCATTCACAACTGTTTGTAACAAAAACTATTGAATACTATGCTGATGAAACGTTGAAAGGTATCTTCGTATTGGGATGTTTATCAAATGTTTAATAAAATGGCACCACTAGAGCAGCAGTTTGTTGCAGCAAATTGTTCCACAAATGGCCCTAAAGCTCTCAAAGTCTAGTTTTACATGTCGCTATGCAACTCAGAGATGTTCGATAACAACATTTCATAAACTCATTTAATCGATTTATATTAATGTTGTTACACACAGCAACAGTATTTTTATCTTTTGATAAATAATACAAGTGCCGTAAAGTTAATGCGCACGTGCCCGAGTTCATTTGCGTTGCCGCAGATACCTGCGCAGGTAGCGTTCAGTAGCTTCCAGCTGCCACCATAAAGCCAGTCCATCATAGTGCCTTACCACCAGATCATTTTAAAGTATATTATATTTGCCGTTTTAATTATTATTTCGCTGTCAAAATTACTTTACACCGATGATAACTAAAGAGAATAGAGACTGCCTGAAGTCACGATTCCCTCATGGGATAGTAGGTACATAATTGTATACTAATCTTAAGTAACTGGAAACTCACCAAAAGTTTTTAAAACGAAAATAAAGAAATCCTTGAAAACGGCACTTTCAGTGAAGTCGAATTGTTAAAAATGTATTTTGTGAAATATAAAAAAATCCTCAATCTTTTTATTAACTTATCTACCGTTTTATTAATATTTCTCGATCAAACCACCTGCATAATTGTTCAGATGTTATATTTTTTTTAAAATAAAAACTAAGTAACGTAGTAAAAGTAAGTAGTTTAGATAATACTGTTATTTAAATCATTCAAATATCCATTTAATTATATTGTTTCATAATATTTGTTTAATTATATAATTAGAAACCATATTTATATGAGATTCGTCGAGGCAACATTAGTCTTCACGTCCCTACGGATCCATCAGATCCAATAACTCTTGCATTAGACGCCTTCAGCTCTAGCACTAAGTACAGATTTAGGGACCCCAGTAACCGTACTCGTCGAACTCGGCAAAGAGTTCGACGTGCAACCTAACCCATGCATCAGCCCGCTGAGTTTCTCGCTGGATTTTCCGATCCGATAGTAGATGCATTTCCGAAACAGCTGCCGTAGCTCTCCTGCGGAGGTGCTCGGGTAGCTGTTAGCAAATCCCAACCCTTTGCTGAGCTTCTGCTCGCCCACCTGCACCTCGAAGCAGTGAGTAGCGAATCGCTCATAACAATATAAAAACTTCGCTTAGCGGCTTTTTACCGTGGTAGCTCCTGAACAATCCTTGCTTAAACGTAGGCGCGAACGGTAACGGTAGTGGTGAGTATCTTGCACACGAAACATCAGCACACCGACGGCTTCCGTCACACTACTAAATAATTGTTTTATCAACACAAGAATACTTAACAATTCTGTTAACTTCTGTGACTTCAAATCGAGGCTCTGAATTCAGATCGCATGTTGTATTTGAATAGTCATGAACTAGGTATTTCCATTTTCCATATAGAGGTACTTAATCAATGTTGATCGAATCGCTCGATCTTATACCTAACCTATTGTACGTAGTTTCGTTTCTGCTGGTAATACTAAACTAATTAATTTTACTGGAGACTTTTCCATCGGATAGTCGCCACGTGCCGCGACGCACAGACGATTTTCTCCTCAGGTTAGAGCCTCAAGAGCTCACCTACTTGCTCGGTTACGCTGGCACAGCCTCCTAAGGGTGCTAGCTTAGATAGGAAAGACGATTTTCTAATGCAATTGCGCCTTTAAAACATCGGACAATAAAATTAAACTCGCAAAGATTTCTCATGTCATTCTCAATCCTGCGTTCCAGTCTGAAAGGTAGCAGAGCCGTAAATGCAATGCGCTTCCCTGAATAACGTATTTACTCTCCTCTCAGATCCTGAGAAATGGGACAGAAGCGACGTGATGCGGTGCGTGAGATGGGTGGCTCGCACCTTCAGGGTGGCGGCGCCGCGGAGACACCTGCTGCCGGACACCGGCAAGGACCTTCTAGCGCTCACCGCGCAGCAGTGGACGGAGGTAATCAAACAATTGTATATATGTGTTCAAGGCTCCGGTAGCCATTTACCTGAGGCAGTCTCTGAAATCGTCCAGCTGTTTACAATTTGCTTGGATATAGGAATAAAATACTGGCATTTAAATTACATAAAGATCAAAGGTGAGCGTTGCTTTAGAGGTTCAGGGACAGTGACATCAGCCCCACGTAGGTAGGTACGTTAAGCCCTGCGCGAAATACGACATCTCTAATAGTCAAATCCAAACACCAGCATTTAGAGTTTTCTTACATTGAAGTAATGTTCTCCAGGTGTGTTCCGGGGATGAGCAAGCAGGTCGGATATACGACGCATACATCCGACACGCTCACGCCAGCGCCACTGGTCTACCGCCCCCGCCGCCTTTACCAGAGCACCAAGCTTCTTCTAGCACTCCGTCTGAACAACGTGAGTTTAGGCAGTACTAATTATATCTATGTTAGGTACTAGATGAATCTATGGGTTGAAAGTGCCCGGTGTTGGTCTAGAATCGCATCACGCATCTCTTCCCGTGAACGACTAAGGGGTTCATTTAGCAGGGAAGGGGCAGCAGCGTCCTCAGAGTAGTATACTACTCCTCACTTTCTAAATAACTTTTATATAATTTTGTATTTGTCTAGTGTTCAATTTTAGCTTTTTAGCGTCTTGTCTACACGTCTAATTTGAACTGAGTTGAACCGACATTCAAGATGTGATCCACAAATTTTATACTTACATATTATATATTTGTGCACATTATGTATTTAAATATATAACCAGGCCTTGGTCCGCAAAAAGTTTTGGAGATTTTTCAGCAGGGTCTATTTTATAGTCTATTTAATGAGTACATTTACTGTAAGTCCTTGCATTTTCATAATTGTGGAGATCTTGATTAGCGCCAATTGGTAGTTTAAGATGACATATGCTTAAAAACATTGAAAACATTGTATTTAATATTCATTATGAATAATTTTTGCGACATTTGGTATATTCCATATGAAATACACGTTATATTTTTTGCACGTTTACAGAAAACTTTGTTTCAGTAGTTTGTAGGTTGTTTAATATTGTGTGATGGGAGATTATCATAGTGTAGCTTTTGTATGATCCTTCAATCTATATATTAATTTAATACGTGAAGCAAAAACTTTGTATCCCTTTTTACGTAAATTGCGCGGAAGGAGGAGTATGAAATTTTCCACACTTATAGAGAATATAGAGAAGAAGTGCACAATGTTAATATTTTTTTTAAAAGAATGCATAAAAGATAGATAAAATCTATAAAGAAAATATTACACACACTACATACCATGTATTTGACGCACACATGCATGCATACTATTTATTGTCAAACTTTTGTTCTTGACCTCTGTGAAAAAATTGAGAATAGATTAAATATTGTTTGTCTTTATTAATATTTTTTATAGTGTAGTCTTGGCGAAATTTGTGATTATAGAAGTATAAAATACAATCATAATAGTGTACAAACGTACAATTCCAATTAATTATAGTCGAATTTCGACTACTGTGGGACCTCTAGTTTTTATTAAACGACTATTTTTTAATTTAAAAAATGAATAAATTAAAATAGTTATTGTGGACATATATGCACAAAACACACTTATGAATAGATACGTACATGTAATATATATTATAAATATAAAAAATAAAGTGTATACAAAAATATTAATAAAGACAAACAATATTAAATCTATTCTCAATTTGACCACAAACGTCAAGAACAACAGTTTGACAATAAATTGTATGCATACGTGTGTGCGTCAAATACACGGTAGGTATATAATGTGTGTAATGTTTTCTTTATTGATTTAAAATTTAATGTATCTTTTATGCATTAAGTATTTTAAAAAAATATTAGCATTGTGCACTTCTTCTCTATATTCTCTATAAGTGTGGAAAATTTCATACTCCTCCGTCCGCGCAATTTACGTAAAAAGGGATACAAAGTTTTTGCTTCACGTATTAATATATAGATGAACTTATGATAAACAATAGAATAAAAGTGAAAAAGAAATTAATTAAAAACTTCAGGCCGATTTCAAATTCATATTATTTTATAATACTTACTAAACGAAATTAATTTAAAACGTTTACACGCTGTTAATAGACCATCTATATATTTTATATTATGTAAGTACTACAAAAATACACAAGCACTGCATATTCTATATTATTACTGAATTTTGACAAAAGCGCCATCTATCTTATGTAACGGTAAGCAGTATAAAAGCGCGCCAAAAAAACTCATGAATGAGCGCGCGATGAATCACTTTCGCAGCACGCGTGAGTTCCATTCATCTCTCACGGTTAGTGACTCAGCTGTGTTCTACGAAATGTAACTTTTGGTTTTTACTTCGATTTACTAGATGGGTAATTGGGGTCTGTTCATGGTCAGTAGAGAACACTTAGGTAATCTTCAATGCGTGCCTAACTTATCTGTGGTTTGACTATAATAATACTTCACAGAAAACAGACTTAATCTGAAAAAATACATGATATTCTTAAAATTGAATTGATATATGAAAATAATCCTAGAATCCTCCTGTAGTGTTGATTTCGACATCGTTTTTTAGTTCTGTAGATTAACAATCGGGTAACCATTTAACTCAGGTTAGTTAAGTTAATCTGAGACTATGTGGTTAATTAAATATTTCAAAAGTATAGCCTCCTTCTTTTTGGAAATGCTTCAAATGAATTAATATAATCCAAATATGTATGTCTATAGTATTAATTTTGAATTTGTTATCGTGTTTTTGACCATACATGTTACGAGAAGTGAATAGTTTGTAAAGGTACGTAGAACGCACAAGAAATACTGTCGGACCACTGCCTCTTCTGGCCGGGGCTTGTAACTTCTAAATTGACGGCTGATATATGTGGCTGATATCTTTAAGTCATGCGCTCAACGTATACGCACATGCCTTTAATATTACAACTAGGTTATAATATCATTCAATTTAAGTACTTATCAGATAACACAGTTTTCGACTCCCTTATCGTTTCTCATTTCCCCCTTAGGTCCCAGTAGATTTATAAATCGACAGAAATCACCCCAAAGCAAAAGATGTTATCTCAACTCATCAATGTGCGAACGTGTCTTTAACATAGATATGGGCATGCCCCTGACTCTCAGGAAATGTTAAGTAAAACAATACGTTGAAATGAAGTAAAAATATTAGATAAGAACTGAAAAATGATTAAGAATAAATCTGGTAGGTCAAAGATAGTCTCCACGGTTACTAACCACGAGGGTTGGACTTGTGCGAACTCGGCCTCATCGAGTTTTCCACAGTGGCAGTAATCTGTTTCCTACCTATCTCCCAACTACCTACAGACAATAGGGGCTCCTGTTTGAAACGATAGAGGTTGAGCTTTTGTGATCCCTCCTCCATATGCGATCCTGTCACTAAAAATCATACCGAATAGTGTTATCCATCCATTATAGCTTACAAAAATATAATTAAGGTTATTTTATTTATACAGAACATTAGACATAAAAAGTAAACTGTTTGTCCGAATAATCCGTGAAGAATTAAAAGAATTTGGCGCCAAATCTCATTTTCTCGTAATGATTCAAAATAATGAGGTCGTTTACGCACCGAGTAATAATTGGAAGTTGCCAAATATCTGGGGAATTTCAGCAGCAAACAAAATGATTCCATCATTTGTCATCAGAACGTTTGCATTCCTATCGAGTTTCGAGCGATGATTGATTTAGATCTTTAAGAATTCAATTAAATTGAGGTATTTTTCACCACTTCTAATTAATAAATAAAAAACGATATAACTGATGATATTAGAGTTGAATGAATCGTTGAACGAGATTTAATTATCACCATTTCGTTTAATTATAACTTGTGTCATTGGGCTGGCTCAAATTATAACGCTAATAAAATTGAAGGTCTCACTCGCAGATTCCTTTTATCTCGATAAGGTTACAAATTTAATTTTAATGTTTTCACAAAATCCGTCTGCATAATAGTTTTTACATGTGTTAGTTCTTTCACAAATGTTATTGTTAATTCTAGTAAATTTTCTTATAAAATGACATTCAAGTGATTAAGTATGCTTGAACCAGTAGAAAGGTGTGTAGGACAGTTTGTTTGTTATTTCAATTCCGTAATAAATAACCAACTGCTTACCACAGTCATCTATTCTGTTGTTAGGGCGTAGAAGCGAAACACGAATGAATTCCTTGTAAATTTGCATAGTCATATGTTATTATAAGACATATGTTATAATAATATACTCGTAGTGAGCCAACACACGTTGCGTACCTAATTGTAGTTTTCGTTTGTCATACCGCAAGAACAGTTAACATTCGGGTCACACGAGGAAAATAAGTTACAAACTAGTCGCGGCTCTACCCAGCGCGCTACACGGGGTGTTATCTACCGTATTGCACAGCTCTCCCGCGTGGTTCGCGCCGGCGCCGCAATCAGGTGCTTCACGCCACGTGCGGCTAAAATTAGATCGAATGACTAAACTAACGATTTGGTGGCCGAACAATAATGTCAGTAGATGAATTACTGAATCAACTAAAATGAATCACACAGTTCCGGGTAAATATTGATTCACTTCCGCAGTAGACCGCGGCGTGGTCGCCAGATGAACGCAGGTCGTTGGTGATCGTTGTACCACTACAGCTCGGCCTGTACGTCTCTCATATTGCTTTAGGTGATCAGTTCCTCGAGCCCACTTACACCACGTCGTGGATTCCCAACTTGCGACACGAGGACGATGTCGCATGATGATCGCTTTGAGTCAGAAAGTTTTTTATCCGACCGTTTCATAAGCCGCCGCCATGAGTAGTTGCATCTAATAAATTCGAAAGTTTTTATTTTATAATCTAACTAGCGACCCGCCCTCGCTTCGCTTCGGAAACATTAAAATACACATGAAACAAAAAAAAAAAAAAAAAAAAAAAAAAAAAGTAGCCTATGTTCATCAGGGACAATGTCGGCCACTAATGGAAAAAGAATTTTTCAAATCGGTCCAGTAGTTTCGGAGCCTATTCGAAACAAACAAACAAACAAATCTTTCCTCTTTATAATATTAGTATAGATTGTTTCTTCGTCGCTCAGTCATTCGCTTTTGACGTAGTTAATTAGATAAAGCATTTTTTGCCATTGAATTTGAATACCGATAAAGACGACCCATTTGATACAAGTTTATCGGCTCCTTGCCTATAAGTTAAGAACGCTAAAGCTACTGCCCTCTGATAGCTCTTCAACGTGAAAATCGAATGCTCGGACCGAAAAGTAGCAGATGGTTCATTCAGTGAGATCTACCTCACGGCCCCGACTCAAGGTGAGCAAACCTCCTGCCCCGAATAAAAGGCCACAGCCTCTCCCTACTCGACTTGCGAATCCTCGGAGATAAACTCTTTATTAAATCAAATTCTCCTG